ATCAGATAAAATTAGATGTCTACATCAACTATTAGAACTCTACATAAGCTAATTCTAGACCTCCAAATCAGCTAATACTATACCTTTACATCCACTGTTAGACCTTTACATCAGCTAATATTAGACCTCTACATCAGCTAAAATTAGACCTCCACATCTGCTAATATTATACTTCTACATCAGCTAAAATTAGATGTCTACTTCAGCTAATTTTAGATGTCTACATCAGCTAAAATTAGACTGCTACATCGCCATGGATCTCTACATCTGCTAATATTAGACCTCCATATCAGCTAAAATTAGATGTTTAAATCAGCTATCGGATGTCTACTTCAGCTTATACTAGACATCTACTTCAGCTAATAGAAGACCTTTAAATCACATAATATTAGACCACTATATCAGCTAATATTAGATCTCTACATCAACTAATATTATACTTGTACGTCAGCTAATATTTGACCGCTACATCAGCTAAAATTAGATGTCTACATCAACTATTAGAAGTCCATCCATCCATCCATTATCTTTACCCGCTTATTCCATTTTGGGTCACGGGGGTCGCTGGTGCCCATGTCCAGCAATCACTGTGCGAGAGGCGGGGTACACCCTGGACGGGTCACAAGTCCATCACAGGGACACATAGAGACAAACGAGACAAACAACCATTCACACTCTCACTCACACCTAGGGACAATTTAGAGTTACCAATCAGCCTAACATGCATGTTTTTGGTCTGTGGGAGGAAACCAGAGCACCCGGAGAAAACCCACGCATGCACGGAGAGAACATGCGAACTCCACCCAGAAAGGCCCCTGGACCGGGGTTTGAATCAAGGACCTGCTCGCTGAGAGGCAGCAGCTCTACCAGTGCCACCGTGCTATTAGAAGTCTACATAAGCTAATACTAGACCTCTATATCAGCTAATACAATACCTCTACATCCACTATTAGACCTTTAAATCAGCTATTATTAGACTTCTACATCAGCTAATTTTAGACCTCTATATCAGCTAATATTAGACCTCTACATCAGCTAATATTAGACCTCTACATCAGCTAATATTACACCGCTACATCAGCTAATATTAGATCGCTAAATCAACTAATATCAGACCTCTACATCAGCTAATATTAGACCTCTGTTACTGTTGATCTCTACATAAGCTAATATTAGATCTTTACATCAATATCAGACCTCTACATCAGCTAATATTAGACCTCTACATCAGCTATCATTAGATGTCTACATCAGCTAATATTAGACGTCTACATCAGCTCATATTAGACCAGTACATCAGATAATATTAGACTGCTACATCAGCTAAAATTAGACTGCTACATCAACTAAAATTAGATGTCTACATCAGCTCATATTAGACCTGTACATCAGATAATATTAGACTGCTACATCAGCTAAAATTAGACTGCTACATCAACTAAAATTAGATGTCTACATCAGCTCATATTAGACCTGTACATCAGATATTAGACTGCTACATCAGCTAAAATTAGATGTCTACATCAGCTCATATTAGACCTGTACATCAGATAATATTAGACCGCTAAATCAGCTAATTTTAGACTGCTACATCAGCTAATATTAGACCTCTACATCAGATAATATTAGACCGCTAAATCAGCAAATTTTAGACTGCTACATCAGCTAATATTCGACCTCTACATCAGATAATATTGGACCGCTACATCAGCTACAATTAGACCTCTACTTCAGCTAATTTTAGACGTCTACATCAGCTAATATTAGAACTTTACTT